CAGGTTTCATTGTTGCATTTACACAGAAGTACAACTTCAATGTAACTGGACCCAATTCTTTTTATTAGTTCATGATTAAAATAACTAGAGAAGAAATATTATCAAACTATCAATTGCCATAGAATCTGGGAAAATAATTCTAATTAAATAAATCTTTTGTCTAAACTAACCTAGAACAAAACTGTACAACTCAAGTTACCAGTGACACATACAACCAGTGAAAGAATTTTGCACAATCCTAAAAATATTCCCAAATTGTATATAATGAAACTAACAGGAAAAACCATCCAATGAATATACAACCCTGAGCTCCAGAGCCACATGATGTTGTAAGTGGGGTCCCACTGAAAACCCAAGTTGTGCATCATTAAGTTGTTCAGGACATCACTCTGGCATTCAAACTGGGCCTTTAATAAAGTTAGTATTCTCTTAATGGAGCTTGATCTCACCATTGGCAACAATATCTAGAGTTGTAGAGAACTGGTTCATGAACAACTCAAGAACTATAGGTTTCCCATGCTTGCTGTATTGGTTAAATATAACATTTTAAAAGAAAATAATTTTAATCCTTAATCTGAAGAAAGACACAATTCTTCATCTAATGAAAGTTTGCTTTCAACTTCATTCACATTCATTTCTACATAATTTTCATTGGAACAATTCTATAAAATTGCCTGCAATTCATAAACAAAACAATTCCTCCTTAAAAATTATTTAAAGCATTTTCTTGTTTAGCATAAATGTATGGTGTGAAGAACAAAAACATAAAATATCTTATTTCAATAAAGACCATTTACTTGGCAACCCGGGGCTCAAATTTCTAAAGTTACAATTTTCAATTGAACAAACTGAGGAAGTTATAGCAATAAAACCCTTATCACAGTTTAAAGCATATCTAAGTAGTACTATTGCCACTGTATTTAATAGATTGGCTTCTTCATAAGTATTCTCAGGACTAAATCCCAATGCAGGTAAACTAACTCCAAACCTCATAATCAAACAAAATCATTTCCTAAAATATGAAATGACAAACATTTATTAAATTAAGGGGGACAGAGAATATTATAGGTAGCTTAGCAACAACTTGTTTTGTTAAGAAACAACAGCAAATAGCATTGCAATAAATGCTACCTATGGGTTATAAGGACAATAGTTACTTAGGCATGTCTCAACAAACATATCCTGCCACTCAAATGACCACACCCTGAAAAAATGCAGTCTAAATATTGAGAACCAGAAATGAATTTTTAAGTCAATTCTGCGGAAGTCTTATAAATTTATTAGTAATAATATTTAGATCTGTAGAGCTTTTGTTCTGCTTTAAAGAAATTTCAAGTCACTGTTTTCATAATATCCTTCCTGGGGTGGGGGGATCAGGAAACAAATGTCAAGCAACTCTTGAAAAGGTTTACTCTGTGAGTAAAATAAGAGACCCAATTTGTTACAAATCCTGGGAAAGCACTCATTTACTAAGTGAGTCTCAAACCTACAAATTGTAAGGTCATGTTTCTGTAAGATAGAAAAGTGCAGTCTCAGAGAAGCAAGGAGGAAGTGCGGTAGAACTAGCCCAGAAAATTGACAATCACACAAACATTCCGGAAAAAAAGAGTACTCACACTGTACAGCTCATCAATTCTGCTCCAAATTTTTTGATGTAGCCTGCTCAGATCCTTAGCACAGTTTTGTTTTTGTTACAGTGCTTATCAGGCCTGCCTATGACTACAGTTTCAACACAGTCTGTGGCATTTCAGAATAGTACAACGAAGCCAAACGAACAGTTTCCAAACTTGCTCTGCCTACAGCTGTTCTGCTCCGCCCCTCTATGAATATGCTAAAAAAGCTGTGTGATTGACAGCAGCCACTGAGTTAGGACAAAAATAGACCCAACTATTAGCCCAGTCAAATAGAAAGCACTGCCTAAGTCAAATATGCTTACTCCAATCAATAATTTTAGTGCAAAAAGACTGCAGTTATCCCTAGATATTACTATTGCTTAGCTTGTAGGATTTATAGAAGCCACTGTAATTTTCAAACAGAGCAGAATTACCAGAAGTGGTCGAAGTGGGAGCATTAATAAATTATTTCCAACTCTGTCTCTATACACACCTGAATTCTGCTCCCCCCTCTACCCCACAGCATTTATAAAGGCACAAAACAGTTCTCAGCAATTCTTATTCATCGGAGAAAGCAATAAACTCAAAAATCTTGCTGTTTTTTTCATTATGATTCTTCCTGCTTCATATTTAAAGTGACATGTTCTTAATAGTGTATATAGAATGCACCGTTATTAAGTGCCTTTTAAAACAAATATTATAGATATTTAAACAAAAACATCTGGGTATTTTGAATTTGATCAGAGCACACAAGATCATTTCATTTTAGAAATACAATAAAACTAAATGCATGTTAAGCAGTAAGTTGTGAATAATATGGGGTTTTTTTATAACAGTCCTTCTGGCCCAACAAATTTGTAGGATTGGACAATGCTAACTTCAACCACTGATGATTTTTGGACATAAAGCTAAATTATTGTTCAGATTATCAAAAATGAGTCTAAATTACCTTCACACATTGCATTAAGCCACAACACAAAGAATCGTGTTCTGGGAAATGGGGAACTATATAAATCTGATAACAAATAAATAAATAATGTGGCTTTTTTGTGGTTGTTTTCGTTCGGTATGCTGTGTGAGTCCAGCCACTGTATAGTTATTCAGCAAGAAGGGTTAAATAAATCCACCCAGTGGCTGAATTTAATCTAAATAAGTTACAAAAAGAAATAAGCATTTTTTCTTTCTTTACAACATAATATCCATACAGGATCTATGGTTAATATGAATTATGATTTGTTTATAGGCTGTCTCAAAATACTGAAGCCAAACAGCAAATGTTAATCTCCTTTCTGCAGATATTCAAGCTTCACAGCACTATCAGAACCAGCCAAATTATTTTGGATCTGAGCCAGAACTTCTCACAAGCAAATTTTTACCTTCCTAGCAGTAAAGTATAATAACAAACAATAACCTGCTGCCAATTCTCTACAAAACTGAACCAGCTTCAAAACCAGAATGTCCAACCCTTGTTTAAACATATCCAGTATTAAACACTATTTAGGGCTTCAATAGCATATTAAACTGTGAATAATGGCAATTGGAAAGCTAAGATCTCTCTACAAGAGCAAACTCAGAGCTCAACTTTGGTTCATTTTCACTATGACAAATTATGGTTTGGTAACATACAATTCTGGGAGGGATTATATCAAGTCTTAGAACACAAAAGATTCTGAACATCTCTGGTTAAAGTAAATATAAGTATTATGTATTCATTGAATTTATTTCCTGCCTTTCTATCAAAAGTGAAAGCATGCCATATAAAACCCCAAAGTTCTGCTTTTTGTTACTGTAGAACAGACATGTCAAACACAAGGCCTGGGGGTGGATGTGGCCCACAAAGTGGTTTCATGTGGCCCACGAAGCTATCCTGGAAACAGTGAGGAAACGGCCCCCGCTGCCTTGGCCTTGGCCCTGGCCCTGACCGGCCGGGAGCCAATGTACAATTTTATGGTGACCATCTATGCTGAAATGCATTCAGTCTTAGCTCCACAAGGCCGTCTGGAAACAGCGAGGAACCAGCGCCTGCCAGGTTGGCCCCACCCCCTGGGTACATGCTGGGGAGGTGTCACCCTTTGTGAAGAATGAAGAAAGGCACCAACGCCTGGAAGTGGCCAGCAAATGGCCCTCGCCTACTTCACATATCTGGCTTGATGGGCTCTGGGGGGGGGGGGTTTCTGCAGCCAGTGAGGCGCTCTCCTCACAGCATCGAGAGGCTGAGCTGGGCGGTGCAAATCCAAAAAGAAACATGAGGCTGCCCAGCTCCCACCCTGCCCGGTTTCAGCAGGCAGTGGAGCGCTCTCCTCACAGTGCCAAGAGCTGAGCTGGGTGGCGCGAATCTGATGAGAAGTGCAATGCTGCCTAGCCCCCAGCCTGCCAAGTTTCAGCAGGCAGCAAGGTGCAAAGCTGGCAGGCTTCGCACTGCCCGGCTCAATCTCTCGACGCTGTGAGGAGAGCGCCCCGCTGCCTGCTGAAACCAGGCAGGCTGGGGGCTGGGCTGCATCATGCTTCTTTTTGGATTTGCGCCACCCGGTTCAGCCTCTTGGCACTGTGAGGAAAGCACCCTGCTGCCTGCTGAAACTGTGCGGGCTATGCAGCATTGCGCAGGTAACGTTGACTCTCACGCTGCTCATGGCATCCCCTCCCCCAGAGCCCACCAAGCCAGATATGTGAAGTAGGTGAGGGCCATGTGCTGGCCACTTCCAGGCAATGGTGCATTTCTTCATGCTCACCATTCACACAAATGGAGCTGCACATGCTTGTACACACTTGCCCACCACTCGTGCAGAACCACTCCCTTCCTGTAGCCAGTCCACAAAGCTGGAAAGGTTGGGGAACTCTGCTATAAAGCAATCAATATAAAATAGGTAAATGCATAATATTACATTATACTATCTCAATTACATCTCCTTAGGTACTGTACTTAATATGCTACACATTGATTTTAAAAAGCAGAACATTAAACCTTAGAATACTTACAAACTGAAATTAGACCAAAATCATTTAAATGTTAAGAAGCACTCCAAAATAAAAGAACCATGTGGAAAAAGACAGGATGATTGCAACATAAAAATATTTGGAGATATGTATCTGAGATGAAGCAATACACTGGCAGAAAATATGACCAGCACAAAGCCTCGTTTACAAATCATAAATTATCACCAATCATCAATACTAAAGCCTTGCATTTAGAATCTGTGCATATTAATCCTTCTAACTAGTTTAATTTAGAGATTTCAATACATGAAATATTTTTCTTAATTTTCATGATCTTAGACGTTCTCTACCTCTTTGCAAAAGCAACAAACTGTTAGAGTAGCATCATCATAAACATTTACAAGAGTAGGGAGATATTTTGCTTTTGGGAAGATTAACAGACAGGTAAATTACCTTACTGACTGAAGAAACTCCACTCGTCTGGCTTTTAGGCAAATCAGTATTGCTAGTTTTTACAGATCTCTTCTGTAAAGAAAAAATAAAGAATTAAATCTTAGCATTTTAACATCATGGGAGAAATCCTTCAATAGAGACATTGAATTCTATTTCCAAATTTTATTTCCCTTGTATATTACAAAAATGCCCTCCTATAAGCAATATCTTCATGCAATTAAATTAAATAGTGTTCCCAAAAATGCTTGGAGCACCCTTTGGAATCATGAATATAAATTTTTCAGGCAATAATATTTTGGGGATGCAAAATGTATGAACACATTATGATATTCTATCATATTCCTATCACAGACGAATCACAGGTTTATTTTGAGATTATGAATTAACTGTAGGTACTTGTCTTCCATCTTCCCATCAGAACAGAATGTAGTGAAGACAAAGTTAAAAATTTATCTAACTTACATCTTTAAACTGTTATAACATTGCGTGTGTATAACAATATTATATAGTTATTTTAATTTAACATAGCTTAATTCTAAAATTTGTCACAAGGCCAAGAATATTAAAAAATATATTTTTAAACTTGATAACTGGTGTTTTAGAAATACCATACCAAAATAAAAGATGTGGGTTTTTTATTTAAAAAAAAATAGAAGACTAAACTGCATTATAAAATTATAAAGTTTCTTTTTTTAAAAAAAGACCCAACTTCTTTAAAAACAATAATGCTAATGATAACCTTTATTATTATTATTTTTAGAATGACCTAACGAAAATTGATGCCTTTGCTCATAGTGTTTACTTTCCAAAACAAGTAACAACCGTTGGCACAAAATAGGAAACACAAGTTGAAAAGTTAAAAAAAAATGCCCAGAATATTCAAATGTTATGTGGTTATGTGTATATATTTTTGTCATTGTACAACTCATACTAAAAATGTAACAACGATTCTAAAATGAAAGTTGTGAAAACTGAAAGTGGTACAGGAAAGAGAATAGTTATCGTAAATATATCATTTACAGTACTCTATATTGCACACCCATTCCTATCAGAAACCTATCTACTTTTCCAGAATGCAAATTGTAGCAAGGTAGGATCTAAGAACAAATTAACCATGTGTACTGAGCACTAAAATACATATGCACATGTATATTTGGATGCATTTATATAATTGACAAAAACTATTCTGTTTTGCTGATGTGATAACCCAGCATCGTAAATTGACACTCATTCATGCATTCTGTTCTCTGAATGTTTGAGGACCTGCAAGTGAACACAATACCTTCCTTTATGTCAGTAGGCTAGGGAGAAAAAGAACTTTAGGCATTGAGCTGACAAAGTCAGAGAAGATAAATTACAGCAGCACTTATTCTTCAGGAAATGTGATACGTTCTTATTTATCTAATAAAAAAAGCAGAACAGATAATGTTACAAGCAAATTGCCATCATCCAAGACAATTCAAAAGTCAACCAAGTTTTAGAACAAATGTCAGCTAGTCTGACTGAAAGGTCAGATTCCTATTCTTTTGAACTTGGAATACAATTCTCATGAAATGAAGCTGAGTTTCACTGGATCATTCAGCATTCCTGTCTTTGTATTTGTATTTCTTTCCCACTTTCTGCTGCCTTCCAACATGACGGCCATTTAGATTATGTTTCTTGGGATAGGGACACACAAAATCTGATACCCTTAAAACTGCTACAAATTTTGTTTGGATTTGGCCTTGTGTAAAGGTAATCACTATGATTTGTTCAACTAAAGTTTGGTGCGAGATTACACCTAGTAAAAGGCACATAATCATACTAAAATTTATAAAAGAATGATGATGGAAACCTGGAAGCTATCACATTTTGCCATTCTTAATCAAAGGTAACCTGAGCAGTACGTAGAGTGAAATTATTAAAGTGCTATACTTACAAGCACGTTAGCCTATATTCCTTAAAATAGGCATCCCCAACCCCTGGTCCGTGGACCAGCACTAGGCCACAGCATGCCAGAAATCGGGCCACGCAAATAAGAGAAGCCCATTCCATGGGGCCGGCAGCATGTTAAACGCCCACTCTGGTCCATGGAAAAACCTCTCTCCATGGGACCAATCACTGGTGCCAAAAGGTTGGGGGCCACTGCCTTAAAATATAATCTTAGGCATGAGTAAGTCTCATTAAATGTAATAGAACATATGTACTAGTAAATGTGCTTACAGTAGAATTAATGGCAACAAAGCAGCAGCTTTCCTGCTTGAGTTCCTTATATTTTACTTGTTTTATCCATTTTTGTAAATAGCTTAGCAACCCATTTTGTTGTCTACTTTTATTTAATAATTATCTGCAGGGGATATTCTAAATCTGAGTACCAAGTCCCTACAACATTGTAAAGGCTTCTGATATGGTACAGTGACATCAAAGCAATGAGGAAGAACAAGAAACACATCAAGACAAGGCTCATAGACCCTACCTAAATCAACCAAGTAGCCAAAAATGGATGACTACATGATGAGAAAACCGTAAATAAAAATAATAACAAAATAAATCTTCTCCATTCCATCCCTACCTCCCAAAGCTATAGTGAATTGGGATTTGGAAACAGAAATGGAAAAACAACAACTATTAGAACTCTTCTATACTTTGCATGAGGAATCAAACTTTCTGACTGCCATTTTAGTCTCCCCTGCCATTAATGTATCTGTGAAGGGGGGAAAGCAAGTCAAGCAATTTAGCAAAGGAATTCACAACAGGCTTTGCTGCCAGACAATGTCTACTAAGTGCAAATTGTAATTTCAATTTCTAGAGACTGTGTTTACCTCTATAAATACGCATGTGGGCTCTTTAAAAACAGCCTTTGAAACTTTTGTGCAAAATTATGCAGATAAGCTAGCAGTAATTCAAAATGTTAGCACTAACGTCGATCTGTTTATGGATAACCATATGAAATAAAATTGCTCTGGAGAACAAATTAAGGTTAGAAATGACAACCAAATACAGGCAGAGCTTACAGTCTCACTTTCCATCAAAAAGTAGAACCATATACTCCAAACTTATCAAGTTGCTTTAACAATTACACTTAACAGAAATAATACTGGATGTTGTTCTATCAGAAGAGCTATCCTTCTATCACTTAGCTTACTTCTTTGAGGCCCATGTCATATTATTGATCTAAATGCTGTCAAATGGCTCCCTAGCATGAGAGGACATAAACCAATTCTGTTGTCTTTTAGGAATTCCACTGTCCCCTGCATGCTGTTCAAAGTGATATCCTTTCTTTCCACTTTTCAAATATACCACTGACTGTTTTCCAAGATGGAAAAAGAACTGCACTCTTTGGTTTAATGCAGCGGTTCTCAACCTTCCTAATGCCGCGACCCCATGCACCCACGTGACCACACGTGACCACACGCATGTACCCACGTGACACCCACGTGACCACACGCACGCACCCACGTGACCACACGCACGCACCCACGTGACCCACACGTGACCCACACGCACGCACACACGTGACCACATGTGACCCACACGCACGCACACAC